GTTATTGACACTAAAGGCTTGATGTTAACTGTTAATCAGAGTGACGGCCCATTGAACTCCCTCAGACTATATAAACTTCATAATTGTTCACTAATGCACTTAATAGGTATTAACTGAAGCACTTTATCTTTGTCTACGTAATGTATAATATGTAAAAAATGTAATAAAGTTGATTAAAAAGGAAAAACACTGTTGTTGTGTCTGGTTGTTTGTGCTCAGTGGCGCCTCCCAGAGGGGAGAAGTTACAACATATTGTGGCAGATAATGTAAAAATAAAAAATAAACAGCTGAAAAACTGCGACCGACAACTATTTAAACATTTTTATGATCATTTTAACCTCCACAAGGTTACAACCTGACAACATATCTTTATCAATGAAGTGAAATAACATTGTTAAGGAAACAAAACAGTATTTTAAGTGCAGCCGATATAATTCCAGTTTGTTCTGTGGACTCATTTTCTTGAAGTAGACTTTATATCATTATAAAAATGTAAGCATTATAATGTCGTGTATTAGAATTTTTCCGTTTTTGTTTTTATTTCAGTTTAATAATCATTATAAGACCGAGTATGCATCCAAATAATTCTTAATGATCCCCAAAGTGTAAAGATTTGACATAGAAAATTAACTGGCTGTTTTTTATCATCGGATGTTTTGACAATAATGTAATGAAATAATTCGCTTTAGTGGAAGAAAACCGAGTAAACATTTATATAAAGAAGTTGCATTTAAGTCTTATCTTAACTCTGTTCACACATTTTAAATAAGTTGGGAGAAATGCTGCATGCAAGTGTAACTTCAATTAACTTAACTTAATTTACCAAAGTTACCTTAACAATAAATACTTTGTTTGAGTTTATAAACGGTTTAAGGAATCAGTTTCCTCAGTTTCAGTTGAACTAACTCATCAGGTTTTACTATCAAAACATCTTTAATCACAAATAATAAATAAAGTCCAGTTCTGATTCTGCTCTTCCACATCAGTGCCTCAGTCAGTCATACAGCTTCAGGCTTCAGGTGCTGTTTAATCTAAAATCTATAGTTACAAGGACATTATCTCTTTATTATGAGTTTTTTGTAATAATTTTAAGACAGCAGAAGTCATAATGAGAAAGTTTATAATTGTAATTCAAACTAATGAACTCTTTTCTTCAGAAATAGCTTTAATTCCTTAAAAACAAACAAATATTTTTACATTTCTGACACTGTTGTTTAAGCATAATAAAGTAAATTACAATTGTTTTAAGTCAACATGACATAAAAAATAATAATCTCCTTAAAAATCCAATAACTCCACAGTGGTACTATTATCTATTTCTGTGGTTTTAATGATCTAATTATTAATCTGAACATCATCTTCATATGGCATTTCAGAATGCGGTTGAGTCACCATCAGAGTTTATTTAAGTA